GGCAAAATGGAATTATTTTGCAGCACAAAAGCTTTCCCTTTATTTAAAAAAAAAAAAATCAGCACAAAAACTTTCCCTTTATTTAAAAAAAAAAAAAGGTTCAGAGTATTCACAATCTCTAAAGAAATGCATAAATCAAAGGGAACCTTATGGAGAAAAAAAATTAGAAGGTTTTGTGAATGACCCCAGATTTCCATAGTCAAACTAGAAAAATGGCAGGGGACACAAGCCAAGGATTGCATTAGAAGCTCATCCCAGGAATCCAGTAGGAAGAACAGAGAGTCAGAAATCAGAGCTCATTGGTAGCAGAGCTGCACACAGACATTTATTGAATACAAACAATGACAAACACAGCAGGCTCACAGAGATTTGAGCTTCCTGAGCTAAGTCCAAAAGTTCTCGATGGGTTTTGTTTTCAGAATACTATTAGAGGCCCCTGTGGCTTTGAATTACATATCGCTAAATCCTCCCTGGGCCCAATTACTTCTTAGTTAAAAAATTAGACTTTCCCACCCTTCTATTAGGCATAAATATGGCTTGTCTGGACCCTGCCATGTTGGAAAAAGCATATCCTGTGAGGGAACCAATGGGGACTGTGAGATTGGTTCATTGGCTCCTACACATTCTGCTTCCAAAAAAACATGGGGAAAACCATGCCATATTCTCAGGACATGGATTAAAGGTTTAAAAGGTGAGCCAGGACAAGCAAAATGAAAATATGGGAGCATCAATGGAATAACTGTGAGAAAATAAGTATATCAAAGCAAACACAGCTCTAGATGGCATCAAAGATCATACACTACAATAAGTGCTGTTAGAATGCCAAATCAAATTTAAAATAGCTAAGCTAAACTGACACTAGAGACCAACCTTCTTCTGAAGTCTCACCAATGGAACCTCCCCCAAAAGGTTATTAAAATAATTAGCACTGTACAGGCCTGGACCATAAATAAAGAGTTCAGGACCAACATTAGGATCACGGTATGGAACTGATAAAGAAACATTTACGCGTGTGTGTGAACATGGGGGTGTGTGTGTGTGTGTGTGTGTGTGTGTGTGTGTGTGTGTGTGTGTGTATATGTTAGTAAAGAAAAAGTTTCTCTGGAAATTAGGGGAAGACAGTAACTATACAGATATACAAGCTGGGTGGAGTGTCATTGGCTTGAGAGGGGCAGGGGATGCAGAATGACTGATGATAGGTAGAAATTAGAGTGCGCCCATTGTCAGGTGATGCAGAATGAAGGATGATAGGTAGAAATTAGAGTGCGCCCATTCCAGTGACCTCAGACGTCAGCCTAGAATAGACAAAGGTAAAGAGAAAGGGGAAAGGGAAGAGATAAAAACAAATACTTAATCACAGGATTAGAAAAGAAAAAGATTTTGTGGTATACTCACAACTGTCCTCTTTTCTGCTATATCCCACTCATTCTTCCCTTTTCTCCAGTGTAATCTGCCATGCTGAAATATTCATTATATTAATCCACTTTGTGGAGACTCCTGCCAGCAACACCACAGTTAGGGCTGCATTTTAAAATGGGTTTAAAATCCTGCCTCTCTCTAAAAGTAGGTGGCCAATTAGTGTGAAATGTCAGTGTTCAGTTCTGATGTCCTTTGAAGTTCTAGATTGTTTCATAAACTTTTAGAGAAATATCTGAATTCAGCTCTGGATTAGGTTTTTTGGCAGCTCTGCTTTCCATTGGTGATGTACAAATCCTAAAAACACTGTCTCTGTTTATCCCAAGTTTGGTAGAAAGGTGGCCCGAGAAGATCTAGTGCTATACGGCTAACGCATGCTCAAGGCCCCATACATAAGGTTTGTGTGTGCAGTGCCATAATTCTCATAATTCTCAGCTTTTTAACATCCAATTTTGGGTGATTTTCAACTTATGTACATTATATTTTGAGATCTATTACACTGGGCACACAAGTCAGATGCAAGGTCTTGAGCATGAGCAAGCCTGACTGGCTGAGGAAGGGCTCTCTGCACATGGAAACCTGACTGATGTTGTTGGGTGCATGAAAAAGCCTTGCCTGCCAGGAGTTACACTTGTCTGCCAGATACTCCCCTACAGCATGTTAGGGCTCATGTACAGATGCTGAGAAAGAAAATGTTCCCTGTCAGTAGCACTTTTACCAGTACCATACCTAGACTCCTGGCGGCCCTGGGGAAACGTTTAGTAACAACACCCACTTCCCTAGAGGTAATGATTTTTTTGTTGCAAAAGTCTTTATCATATCTGTGGTATCGATGTCTTTAAATAGTTTGTTATCAATTGGTAACATTGCCCATTCCATATATATGTAATATTAAAACTTTTTTTGCAATTGAAATTTTTTTTTCATTTTTAGGCTCCCTTTCTGTCTAGATCCCTGGGCAGCCACCCGGCTCACTCATGCCTGTGTCCAGGTCTGACTTTTACTGCCTCACAGGACTATTCCCTACTACCACGTAAGCATTAAAATAATTAGTTTCCAAATATCTCTGCCATGAGACAGCAGAGGTTGCTACACAGACAATATAATTAATAAGAACCCACAAAAGCAAGGAAATGAAAAGCTAAGACATCTAACAGTATATGTCCTAGTTCTCTCACAGGGTATACCTTACCATGACCACAACTCCACAACTGAACTATACCACAGACAACATCAGAACCTTAACTTTGCTCCCTTTTTTGTCCTACACACGGTTATTTACCAGATTATTCCCACCCGCCCCAACCCTGGTAGCTGTGGACATCCATTGTCATGGCTGCTTGTGTTCTGATATTGTAGACGTTAGAGGCCAGCATTCCAGGGGCAGCATATACAGTCATTCCAGGGCCATACTGTTATGTACTATAAAACGGCTTAGCTTTTTATGTCTTTGCTTCTGTGACTGTGTTAGGTATAAGTAGGGTGACCATGAGGAAATCCGGGACATCTGGAATACTACCTCCTCCCCAAGTCAGTGATGCTGCTGCAGACAGTGGCAGAAGCCGGTGCACAGGGGCGCGGGAGCAGTCCAATGGGGAGGTGGAGCTGCCTGGTGCATCGTGCTACTACACCTCCCTGCCAGACCGTGCCCCTGAAATTCCAGGACTCTCATTTTAATTTTTACCAACCAGCTGGGACCAGCCTTCAAAATCCAGGGCTGTTCCTGCCAGACCAGGACATGTGGTCACCTTAGGTATAAATAGGTATGTAGCAAACCTATCTGCAAAATGTTTATAAATACTAAATTCCCCTTTGCATCTTGATATTGCCTTAGATTTTTAAAGCTGGGAGAGTCTGATAAGACACATTTTTTTATGTCACAAAACCCATCTCCTCTGGATTATTCATAGCACATAGTGCCTATCTGTAAAGTTAAGAGCCAAAACCGGCAAAGAAAAAAAAGGAGGGATTCTTTAAAAGGCAGTCAGAATTTAAGGAAAATTCTCTGAAAGCAACTTAAACACTGTTCTCAAAGTGTTGCTTTGTAGGTGGGAAGGTCACATAGATTTTGAAGGAGATTTAGGCAGAACTGTTAGTCTCTGCTCAGGAGAGAAGGAGGACTTGAACAACAGAAAGCTTCTACAGTTCAAAATAAAGGTGCTTTGGCAGAGTGGTATGGGAAGGAGGGGTGAGAATAGAATGGTGGAGGTTGCTACAGGTCAGAGCTGAGGTTAGTTGGCACAACTACATATGAAAAGAAATCTTGCACAAAGCCTACCTGCACTACACCCGATCTAGGCAGTGCTATCAGTCCCTCACCATAAGGAGCACCAAAGTCATCACATAGCTACTAAGAAATAAATCACTTCTAGGACACGTGGAATAATATAATAAGTCAACAGGCATGTTGGATAAATGCTAAAATCCCAGTGACATGTGATGGCATGGTACATGCTCCGCCCAGCATAGAAAGATTTGAAAGTTGTCTTAGTTGCATCAATCCCTTCTGCAACTAACCAGTTTTTTTTTAGTTCAGCACAATGCATTTTTTTCAGGGGATATCCCAGAAGATAAGACTCACATTTCCTCTCAGGTTACCCTTCACCCTATCGTACCATCTACCTATTTGTACACATATCCAAGAGATCTGACTAAATCTAAGCGCCCCAAAAACCTCAAATATAGGTCACACTCTTGGATAAACTCAACTGTTTACTCCCAAATTGTCTGCTTTCTAAAAAGTATATTCTACTAAATCGTCCATACTTGCACACTCATTTTTTCCATGAATAGGTGCCACTTAATACATCCTTAAACCAGTAAACCATATTCAGGTGTCCTGACTTTAATCTGGGTCAATGCTGATGGTGAACATTTTCAATATGTTCAATTTCTAAATGTCTGCAGGTCAAACTTATTGCATATGTGCTATTATTAAATGAAAATAAACAGGCTACTTCAATTTATTTATTTACTGGATTTGTTACTTTAAATATATTCATTTGAAGGGGAAGACATTTATAAATCCTGGAAGCATGTAGAAGAGGTATCAAGAACTTATCATTTAGTGTCTTCTGTTCCTTACGGTCTTGTGATGTGGCCAAAGTTGCTGGGTTCAAACTATGTCCTCTCCACACCAAAACAAATCACTCCCTATGCCCTGCCTGAGAAATTGCCATGTTTCTGCAGAAAATAACTCAGTCTGATTACACACAAGCGCTTTCAAGCATGGGGTATGACTAGGAAGATGTTAACAGGCCCACAACTGAAGCAAAATACTGATTGTGGCCATGAGTACTAACATCGAGAGGCTGGTTATGAGTTGCCCTTCAGAGTGTTCCTGGCAGAAGAATCCAAAATAATAACATAATATTCACATTCACTTCAGGTATCAACATACAGTAAATCACCAGTGTGTTCACTTAATACGCTGCCCTGAAACCTAATGAAGACTCTGATGAATGTGACGCTTGGGGTGTGTGTTACTGTCTGAGTTTTGTATGTCTTATTTAATCGGCTTCTCTTTTACAAGGAGGTCATAAAGACTGGGGTGAAAGAATGGGGCCTTGGTTAGCACATCTCACCTGGCGTTGATGAGGTACTGGGCAAGGCTGATGTTAGCTGGGGTTCCTGTGATGGTAATTTGACGTTCCGATGAACCTTCTGTGGCATTGGCGATTTTGATCTGCGCTCCAGACATCTGTCGAATTTCATTGATTTTGGTCCCTTGGCGTCCGATTATGCAGCCTATTAGCTAGAAAAAAGTATGGAGGGAATTTCTTAAAGCGGATCCTCAGACAGTAACTCGCAGGATGCAAGCATGATTACACGGTGAAGGTCAAAGGGTTGGTGGGCCACTTGTTTTTGTTTAAAGGTGTGAATGACTTTAATGCTCATGAAAGCAAGAGACTAAAAGCACTGGTGCAAGCCACATATAACAGGAGCAACTTCCCTCAACATCTTTGCCGTTGTGACTTCTTGCTGACCTGCAACAACCTGATGTTGTTCCAGTCCTTTTTCTCTTTTGAGCAGAGACTTGTACTTGTGCTAAAATTATGCCAAACTAGCACTGAAGGTTTAAGATATGGAAAATAGAGCTATGCTACCAAATTCATCTTCTGGTGTTTCCTCACCCAGGCTCAGAACCAATCAAAGATGAAATGTTGTATCTTTTTTATTGCACACTTAACTTTAGGGAGAGTAACTTTGTACAAAATGCTAAGTAGCTCTTCTGTTACTGAACTTTTAACACAGGCATCATCTGGTCCTCCTTGCTCTTTCACATCGTTTTAAACATATTTATACTATGACTACATATGAACTGGCCAGTCTCGACCCTAACACTATCCTGGGTCAATTTCTCTGTCCACACTGAACAACCCCCTGGCAAGCAAAGCCTAAAGGTCTCAAGGTAAATAAGGCTAAAGAAACATGGGCTCACAGAGGTGAATATCAGACAGAGAGAGGGGAAAGTGTAGCAGGTTGACAGCACTAGAGACTGAAGTCCTATATATACACAGGGGGTGCGTCTACACAAGACGCTATGTCCCTGTAGCCCAGTGCTACAGTGATGTAGCATCAGCAGGCACAAACCATGATGCCAATGCTACTGTGCAGTAGCATGGGAAAAGACCCATCCAGTGCCATCCGGACTGCACAGTAACATCAGTTATTGCACAGTCTGGTGCACATGTAGAGGCACCCAGGGAAGATATATTACAGACACAAGCAGTTTTGGGGATGAGAACGTGGTTAATGTCTCCATGCCCATTCCTACTTAATAGCATCTCATATCAGAGTGCCATCAAGAGCAGGATGTTTAAAGAAAGAGTACCTGTCTCCTTATTACAATAATGAGATCACAAACTTCCTTCCCAGAGGCCACCAATGGATAATGTATCAATGATATAAACAAAGAAAGGATAAAAAATGTGAGAAAGGAGAGAAAATTGTATAAGAGAAAGGTAGGAGGAGAATTTCTGAATGTTGCTGGATTATTTCTATGTTGCTGGATATACGAAAACTGGCAGAATGGAAATCTAAGGTACATGGAAGAAAAGAAAATTTGTCTAATTCCAGATCTATATTATTATGTGCTCAGCAGCCAAGGAAAGCTAACTTTGGCCATTAAAATGGCTGTGGTATTAAATCTAACAGATAGCAAAGAGATCTGCAACAAATTTTCAAATTAAATTAAAATAAAATATGATTATTTACAGTGATCTCTCAGGTCCCCTTAGAATTACTGAAACAAAGGTCAAGTAATTCTTCTGTACATTTTTTCTAACCTTGATTAATGGCATTCTCTCTTGACATAGAAACTAAATGGTAAATAACATGAGGTACAAACAGAATAAGATTAAGAAATAAAAGCTCTGCTCAAAATATAGAGAAAGTAATGAACAATAACTGGAGTTCTTTGAGATGTGTCAACCATGTCCATATTCCACTGTAGGTGGGCATGCACCTTGAACACTTGAATTTGGACACTTTATGCACCTGACCTCGTCCAGCAAGCACTCAATACAGGGGTTAGAAAGGACTGTCTCTTCTTCTTACTTCTCAGGTCCCTCAACCACAGAATCCCAGAGTGACAGAGACTCCAAGAAGGGACAGGACATGGGACATGATTAACACATCTCAAAGAACTCTAGTAAGTTCTGGTGAATAACTGCGTTTTTTTTTTGTTTTGAGTGCCTGTCCATATGCACTTTCCACTGTGGGTGACTCCAGAACAATGCCTGAATCACTTGCAGCAGGTCTCAGAGTTTAAAGTAAACTATGACTGGATTGGCTGCTTTGTCTACTGTCATATCTGGTCTGGAGGCCTCAATAACGGCACAGTGCTTGGTGAATGTGTTTTCAAAGCTCTAGTCTGTCTTGCAAATATCTGTGATGGACATGTTCCAGAGTGAGTCTACCAAAGTTGTCTGGGATGTTATGGGCTCTGACTGCCAACAGCAAGCTCTTCTCATTAAGGGGGAGGGAGGGGGAATCTGCCACGAGTGCCTGGTTTTCACCCACCTTTCTTACCAAAGTGGTGACCATCAAGAATGCCAGATTTAGGGGCAAATGGAGTAGCAAGTTGATGGTCATCAGTTTGAATGGTGAGCCCATTTTGGCAGTAAACCCATGTTTAGCTCTCACTGAGGTACTGGATCTTCTACTGGAGAATATCTTGGTTGAGCTTTAAAGCCAATTTCAAAACCAAGGTAAGATAGACAGACTGTCCACAGGTGGGTGGTGAGCTGAGACAGTAGATAGGTACACTTTGACAGAGCTCAGGAACAAGTCACCATATTTCAGCTCTAACAGAGACTCTAAAATGGCCAGAATGGAAGCTTTGTGGGGAGAAAGAGATCTCATATAGCACCAAGCCAAAAATGTTGCCATTGAGGCAGTTACATTTGTCTGGTTGAGTCTCTCCTGCTATGGATGGGAACAGCTCTGTCAGGGGAGGAGCAGGCCTATTCAATTGCTGAAGACCATCCAGTATCCAGGCTGGGAAATACAGAGTGTACAGATCCACATGGAGTGTCTTCTCTCCAGGAAGAACTGGGAGAGCAGGTCTGGGACCAGAGGTAGAGACATGCATAGAAAATCTAGGAACAAAAACTGTCTTGTCCAAGTTGAGGACAGCAAGATTAGTCATGTGGAGGCATGGTGCATCTTCTATAGCACTTGCTGACTTAGAGGAATAGGTGAAAAGTATAAAAGAAGTTCTCTAAGCATAGCATGAAAAGAGTGTTGGAGAATAAGCTCTATTTGAATCCTCCCTTGAAAAAGAAGATGTAACACTTTTTGTGGCTGTCTGAGGAAAAAAGGTCAGCCTTCCAGAAAATTTCCTGTAGTGCACAGTCCATGATCACCCACTCAGTAAATATATAGAGATAGGCCTACTGAAGCTATCCACTTGGGTATTCTACAATCACAGGAGGCACGTGGCTGATGGATATATCCTATGTTGAATGTGCTAGTTCCAGAGGCTGCCTGCTTACCTACCAGCAAAGAGGGAAAGTCTTGCATTCTCCTCCCTGTTTGTATTATATTTATAAGCATTATGGTGATTATATCCATTATAATCTGGATGTAATATCCCACAATATGATGTAGAAATGATCAACATGCTCTTTGGATTGATTTTAGCTCTGAGATACTGGCATGTAGTTTTGCTTCTATACACAAGCTTGAGTTTGAAACGCATTCACATCTGTCCCCTAACCTTGTGGAGAGACTTCATAACTGTCAGTGATAGTTGGGAGGAGAGAAACAGGACCTCCCCCTTCAGATGTTAACTGGGTCCTTACAGAGTGATGATGAATGAGGGACATCTCAGTAGGAGAGGAAGAGGAAAGTACCTTAGTGTAAAGAAGCTTTTCCATTCTAGCCACTGGGTCTGCAAAGTCCTCTTATGCTGTGGACACAAAGCCCAAGATCTGAGCATGAACGGCCTGTGATGCTGAGACAGAAGGCCATGATCACAGGTGATGGGATGCATCCTGAGAGCTGCCTCTTGAATGTGCAGCTCAGAGATTCATTCTTGTGGCTACTGGGCCAGAAATCAAGAATGTGATGGTTGTCCAGAGGCTGAAAGAATGGTCAGATGAGACTACCTCATTTGGTAGTGTTGATGTATCTGGAACCAGGGACAGTTCCTTAACAAACCAGAAATGGAGGTGATGGATCTTAGTGCCAGCCAGGCCAGGGAGAACAGCAGAAACTGGTTTTGGCTAGACAGTGAGATCATTTGGTTCAGTGAGGTGAGGTGGCACCACAGATGTCAGAAATGCTGGAGGCAATGGTGTAGCAGGAAACCACTGAGGTATATGCACATCAATGGAGCAACTGACACTAGTGCCAAAGCCGTTGGTGCCAGGATGGAAGGCGGTGCTGGAGTATTGGCTCTATAATGAATAAGTGTCAGAGGGGACACTTGTCTTTATGCTGTATAGGCACTGTTGAGGCAGATTATCTGGAACCAGAAATCTGTCCTGGGGCATTTATGAGCATCTTCAACATGCCTGTATAGTTGTGAAGTCTTATGTTGGGGGCAGGGAGGTGAAGACAGCATGAAGACACATTCAAGGAAAACCCTGGGTTGGGATCCTCCCTTTGAACTGGTCTTGCACTGCCAGAGGTCCTGCCAATGAGACCCCTATTCTCAAAAAGGAAGTTGCACCTCTGCAGTATCTTTGCTCACCTGACTCCTGCATGCTGAAGTTAGCAACTAAGCCTGTAGACTTGCTAGAGTCTAACTTCTTCATGATCTTCCAAAGTCAAAAAGTGAAAAAATTGCAAACCTTTGGGACATGAGACTCCCCTAAATAGCAAAAGCACCTTACCATACTCATCCATAGCAGGCACAGACCTCTTTCAGCAGAGAAATAGCCTGAAGCCATGCCAAGTGTGGAAGAAGAAGCCTGGTCAGAGTCATGGGAAAAAAAGAAACCTCACTCAGGTAGAGGAGTAGGCTAGGAGAGCCTCATGTTTCAGTGGTGAAATGATGGAGACCAGAATCACAAAGGAGAATAATGAGAAAAGGCAAACCAGAATTTGTTTGGATGAACAAAAAGAAGGAGGGTAGAACAAGTTGGGTCTGAAAAATGGTCAGACAAATTTGAAACAGACTGCAGAGAAATACTGCCTTGAGCTCAGGCAGCTGAAAGGAACTGGGGAGCAGGAAGTGTCTACTGCCTTGGTATTAGCCTAAAGAGGAAGAGTAAATGGAAGCTTTCTGGGTACTGCTAACACAAA